TGTAATAATTCTTTTCTTTAATAAAACTCTAAATTACTTAACCCATAAATCATACTTTGACTTAAAATACATTTGATCAATAAATCTTTAAAAGCTCTTCATAAATTGCATTATAAGTCTTAAAGTTAAATCCTTTGTTAATCTTACGTCAATACTAATTTTCAGTCATTAGTATTGTAAGATAACAATATATATATCTATTTTTTTAATTTAAGTTATAATATATATTATTATAACTAATATTTAATTATAAATTTTATTATATGAGAGGTTTGCTAGGAAAATGGGATTCTGAGCATTTTTTATTAAAGTTTTAATTTTTATTGCATTTTAATTTTTGATAATTATTAGATTAAAATGCAATAAAAATTTAAATTTTAATAAAAAATACTCAGAGCCCTATTTTCCTAGCAAATCTCCCATATTATAAATTATTTGAATTACTGATTTTAATAATATAATCATATAGGAGGCGGTCAGTAGAAGTCATGTGCACAAAATTAGCTTAATAATTAAAATTAACAAAAATTTTGGATTTCCCCCTTTTCTACTAACCGCCTTCCATATACATAAATATGTACTTAATAATTTTTATATTTTATATATAAATTTACATATTATTTCTTATATATCATTATAAAATATTTAATTTTAAATAGGTTTTAAATATGAAATTATGTTAAACCTTATCTAATTATACTATATTATATGTAAAAAGATTTATATTTTTTATATTATATTTTATTTTATTAGAGTTATATATAAAATAAAATAATATATTTAATATATAAAATTATTTATATATATAATTATTAAAAAAATTTACATTCTATTAAAGATAAGTAAACCTTTCTGATGAATTTGTTATTCATTGTGTAAAATACAATTATAAAAATTGGAAAAATTGATTTTAAAAAGTTATTTTCAAAGGTACCAAAAGTTATCGTTTTTAAACATTCAAAATGGCTACACTTTCAGAAATTCGCCGTGATGGTTATAAACAATAATCTGATGAAAACGAATTTATTACAAGAAATTAAAGAAAATGTAAACAATTGAGTACTATTAACTTTTATTAACGATAGTCTGAGTGATTATTCGAAAAAAAAAGTTTTATTTGTGCTAAGCAAAAGTCCATTTTACAATCCCGTCTTTTATTACAATCAACCATTATTTATGCTATTTAATTTTGTGCATCGATGCCATTATTACTTGTTGACTTCAAATAAAAAAAAGTTATATTATAGGGGATGTTTTTTTTTTGAATGATAAATCCATCCCTTGTAATTAATGGTTTATTATCAAAAATTTTTGTTTAATTTCGAAAAATGTACACTACGTAATTTAAAGTTAAAATAAGAATATTAATAATATAATAGCATACCATATGCTATATAAAAGTCATCTAGAAGCTTTAAAAAAAAAATTTTTTTTTTTTAAATTAACCGCTCTCGCACATTATAAACTAATGGTATTATTCAGCCATCTCTTTTTGCTCCTCATCTTGTCTTGTCCTTTGTTTTAGAGTAAGTTCTTGACCAGTAACTCGTCGATAGATACTCTTGACATCTTCACACACAGTTCCAAAGTGTGAAGTAGCGTCGTAAGAACGAGAGATAAAGACTTGGTCTTTGGAACCATCTTCAATAGGTTCCTCAAGATCAGTTACGCTGATAAATCTAAATTTAATTCACATTATTGACGTCAGTATCTTCAAAATAAATTTTCTGAAAAAAAATTAATTATTACATACTTCTCTACACACGGACCAAGTAAATCGAGGCCAGGCTTAATTTCAGCTTCTGGATTATCAGTCTCAACAATTGTTGAAACAATAGCAAGAAAATAATCCTTGGCGCAAACGTTATGGGAAGAAGAAACACTTGCAATATAAATATCTAAAAAAAATTGGGCATAATCTTAGTTTAAAACGAAAATAAATACAATATTATTATCAATAAACATACATACCGTGTTTTCTATTGACTTGATTTTGAGGGATAACCAATTGAATAGAATCTACATCGTCGGTATTTGGTATAGGATGTTTAAGAATGCAAATAGCACGGACAACCTTTCCGACTTTTCGAATTTTGCTGGAGAAATAAGATGGATCACCAATAACTTGTTTTGTTTTGGCAACCTTAATCATGAATAAAGTATTTAATAAGAACATAAACATTAACAATACAAATACATACGCATACGATACACAGGATAAAATAATATTCCATTACCTCATCGCCGGAGCGAACTCCACAAACTTTACCATCCGCATCGTAAACAATTTCATCAACAGGTTTATCTAACATATACGTACCACCATAGATAGCACTCAACCTATTTATAAATAGATCACAGAATAAAGCAACGATGTTATAGATAATAACGACAGTTAGAATAGTTAACGTACCGTGCAAAACCTTGAGGTAGTTCACCTAATCCATACAATGGATAAATATAGGGACTTTTTCCATAACGAGCAACGGATGTGATATACAAGATAATTCTTTCATAACTTTCCCGAGCAGGACGTTGAAGATAACTATAATATTATTTTATATCATATTAGTATAATAATCATTATTAAAGGAACGAATCTTTGTTATAAGTTCACATACGAGTCATCTAAATACAACGCCATGGCATGACCAATGAAGTCTTGGGTACCAGGTTCAAGTCCAAACTTTTCATAGACTGCTGACATTGGAATCTTTTCGAGATCAAGACCTATAAATTGAATTAAGAAGACAATTTTTTTTTAAAAAATAAATAAATAATCATAATAAAATATCTAAGGTAACTAATTATGAATATTAAGTACCTTGATGAGTACTTGGATCATCCGCAACCCAATTTTGCATATATTCAAAGAATTTCTTTGCTCTTCTCTTCTCAAACAATCCCATCAAAGGACTGCGTACAGCCTCCATCTCGCTCGCAGGTACTTTAGAGATTTTACCTTCCCGATATACAAAAGAACCGGATATTTGTTTAAACTCAAGGTAGCGCGTCACATCAGTATGAGTAAGGATCCTAACAAGTTCTCCATTGGCCATCATGAATTTAGGAATTAGATCGATGTTATAATCACGATCTTTACCTAATTCACTTGAAGCTGTAGCTCCAGAGCGAAATTTTCGATAAAGCTAATAAATATATAAATAATCAGTTAAAACTATCATGTACTGTAATTAATATGAGGCGAAACGCGTATGAAGATATTTTATACATAAAAATTCAATAATTTATAATGAAAAAAAAACAAGTTTTAAACTTAAAAAATCAAAATGTATTTATTTGATAATCAAATAATGTATTCCTTCTTTAAAGACATGTGGTGTCAATAATGGAGGAACCGAACAAGCCTGATGACCTTTCCGCGTTAAATTACCAGCTCACCTGTGTTAAATTCAAACTAGCACTCTCTCCACCGTAGTAATCGTTTCTGTCCATGTGAAGAACCTTTTTTCCTTCAACGGATAATAATCCTGAGAGAACACACTCGGTTAAACCCGTACCAAGAACGATGATATCGTATTGTTCATCCTGCAAGATTACAACTTGAATTAGTAGCCTTTCGAAAAATAGGTTTCAATGGAAAAATAAATGAACTGAAAAAAAAAAGGAAAACCCCTCTTTCAAAATGTTGAGTGAACATACCATAGTGCTTAAAATAAGTACAGCAAAGTAAATCTGAAAGAATGAGGCAAAATGATAAAAGATCAATGAAATAATAAAGCTCAAAAAGATCTAGGACCAATTTTAATGAAATCTTTGTTTGTTGATCAGATTTTTTGTGTGACGTTATACTGATTGAGGATTGATGCATAGTCCAGTTCTTCCTACTGGTCGAAATACTTAAAATTTTGATGAATGACGCGAAAGAATTACGTGGAGTAACAGGAATTAAAAAGTATTATTATTATTTTTTTTGTTTTTGATCAATTAGTTGTGATTTAACTTTTCGCGTTATTAATTTTCATGTATTAAAAAAAATTCCGTTTAACATGATAAAAGGGCGTACTTTTGTCCAATAATCAAAAAGAATATGTATGAGGCTACACAAAGGGTAATTGGTCCTAAAATCTGCGCAGTAACACAAGTAATCACTTCAATATGAGAAACGCACATCATAATTATCTGATTGATCGTTGTCGTTTCATAAGATTTCTCGCCATCATTCATACTTGGAAATTTCTAATGGTAAATTGAAACCAATTCTATTTAAAAAAAATAATAATAATAACAAGCTTATCACTGAACTATATACATTCTTATCAACCTGGATGTTCATAGTCTCGCTATATACGTTGTACATTTATCAAGAAACGTGGGTTTTCTTTAGTTCGGTGAGTGAAGAAACATTACGTTGTTCAAATTTTTAGCTTTAACCTCAAAGTAAAATTCATCTTTTTTTATTTCTGAAAAGGGTGTCACCCACAATATTTGCTCGATCTTTGAAACATCAGAATGTGTCTCGATATGCAACCGAAGCTAACTCAAAAGAAAAACTTCCTACACCTGGAAAAGAAGCAGCAGTTAACTCGCGTGTCGCTAGTCTTGTTGATCAAATCGCATCATTAACATTAATTGAAACTTCAGAACTAGTACAATCATTAAAGGTTAACCTTCTTCGAAAGTTCTTAGCATTAAAAATAATATAAATATAAGTTCAGTCCGATTTTGACATTTTCGAAAATTTTTTTTGTCGGTAATAAGTCTCGTTTAAATATTCAAGATGTTGTATTTCCAACTGTTAACGTATCTGCGTCAGCTAGTCCAACTGCCGAAACTGCAGCTTCTGCTCCTGTTGAGGTATGCTTATTTATATTATCGTATTTTTATAATTATGTTATTAATAAATTTTTATAAATTTAATAGGAAGAAAAGGCTCCTGAAAAAACCGAGTTCGTTGTTAAATTAGAGAAATATGATGCAGCTGCTAAAACAAAAATAATTCGTGAAATAAAAAACATTTTGCCCGGGACAAATCTTGTGGAGGTAATGTATTAATAATATCTTATAAGTTTCATGGTTATTTTTTTTTAAAGAAAAAAAAGGTTATATATTTTATATTATTATATAGGCCAAAAAATTTGTCGAAAGTGTTCCAAAAGTTATAAAAGAAAATGTAAATAAAGAAGAAGCAGAAAAGATTAAAAAGACATTGGAAGGCCTTGGTGGCACTGTAATATTAGAATAATGAGAAACCACATTATAGCATTTTCAATTTAATAAATTGCCAGATTAAAGTAATTTATATTTTTCAAAATTATATATTTAATCAGTCATCTACTCCTTTGAAGAAACTAGGCACCCAATATTCGGGTGGATGTACTTGTTCGTCAATCCAACAAAGCCCATCAATAAGTAACGTGTCCTATTAGGTTAATTAGAAGACGAATCAAGATGAAATCTTGAACTAGATATTATCAAACAAGCAAATTATAAAATTCTTCCTTACAATTGCATCTTTGATTCGTTCATTTTCCCAGCAAAGTTCAACAGTTATCAAATCTTTGGTAACGTAACCTCGTTTCTACCAAAGTTGATTGAGGATAAAAAAAAAAGAAAGATGATGAAATAAATAAAACAAGGTTGTTAAAATTAAAGCTAATTTTAATCGTTTTATTTATAAAATACCTGGGCCAATAATAATATGTCTGATTGGTCTTTATTCAGCTCACGAGGAACAGATCTAACCATTTTACGATCACCAATTTGTATGATTTCAAATCCGTTACCTAATGGCTTGAGTATTTTTATGGATCTTGTGATATCATCCCTATTTCATAATGTTGGAAATTAGAATTGTAAAAAATTTACAAGAAACAAAAATAATCACTTCCCATTATATAAGGACTTACTCACTAATTTCTTGAGCGGAACTCTCACTACGCATTTTAATCAATTGACGCTTTAATTCCTCAAATTCAACCAACCCACCGTTTCTGCCTCTCGTAGATAAACAAACGTCAACGATTTGAATACCAAGCTCATAATAGAAATCTCCAACTCCTAAAAATTCGGCCCAAAAGCCTTTATTCGCTGTATTCAATTCTTTTGAAATTAATAATCTTGAGATTAAAAAGGCAGAAATAAAAAAAAAATTTAAATTTAAAATTGTAAGTTACATGCAAGTGGATCGACACCGATTGTACTGCACATTATCTGAAAACGTTGCCTGAGCACGGGATCCTTACTAATGTCTTTACGATATTTACGAGAAAATTCTACTAGATTTGATTTGAACACTTGCAATTGTGCCTTCATCTTTAATAAAAGAAAAAAGTATTTAACAAAAGGATTAATTATGTTATGGTAGAACTCTATGGAAAGGAGGTACCTGTTCCATATTTCGTTCCGCAAACGTGTTCCCAACTTTGTTGTATTGCCTCTATGGTTAAAATAATGCATGTTAGCTGAAAAACACTGGAATAATTTTAAAAATAGTAAATTAACAATTTTATTACTTCGGCCTCTTGATGCCTTTGTATTTGAGAAATTCCGCCAACACGTCTACGCATTTTGCTAGATTTGGATAATTTTGCTTTAAAAAAAAAAATCCTCTTTGAATTATATATCTCCTGGAAGACGTATTAATTTATACTTTACAAATTAAGTTGCTTAAAGTTGGGAGCAACAGTTTTTTTGGCCACAGCATTGAAATTGGCACAAACCACGTGATATAGAGACCATCCAATCATTTTAGTAATAAATATGATTTAACATGACATCATACGCGGCGATTTTTTTTTTAACGTTTATAATATATTTATTTATTTATGAAATAAATGACTATGGATTTTGAGGAATTAGGCGAACAAATTGACTTAGATCGGAGTGGATCATATAAAATCCTATATGCTAATAGTGACCAACAAAATTACTCCATGTCACTTGAGAATATCTTAAATGCTTCAAATGAAGATAATAAACTTGATTCAATTGACGCGAAAGTTAAACTAAATTCGCAAGTCATTAGGGTTGATGCTCATGAGTTTATCCTCAATAAAATGAGTATAGAACATTTGTTACTAAATAATAATAAGCAAGAGGAAATGTTCCTTAACTGTACAGATTACTTTTCAGGAATATCCAAGGAGGATATCGAAGATTTTGAGAAAAAAGAGATGATTGATGATTTTGAATTGATCATCAATTTATCAGATAATGTCATAAATGAAAGAACCAGCATAGTTGAGAGTGATGATTCAATTAACTCGTCTGTAATTGTATCACAAGGATCTGGTTCTGATGAGCAAATGGAACGAGATGTTTCATTTGAGAGTTCGAATCGCTCACTAAATTTCGACGATACGAATATTGACCTTTTAAGAGATTTAAGATCAAATGTTTTAAAAATTGAAGGAATACTCAATATATCTCAATCCGAAACAAATGTACAGGTTGGAATGAATAATGAATTTAAATTTAAATAATTTTAGAATCTCAATCAAATGTCCTAATACGAGTCATTCTTTTTTGGACACTTTTTAAGGAAGTTACAGCGAATGTACCAATCGATGATAATCAAGTAGATATGTTTTGGCAAGATGAACATCAAAATGATTCTACCAATTTACCAAAGTTTCAATATCTTTCAGAAAAATTTACAGAAGGCCTTGAAAGTGAGCAAGATGAGCAAAATTCCACCTCTCATCAGGATGATTTGATCGAGCCAAGTATGATGATTCCAGAAATGCATAATGAACTTGAAAAGGTATATAATGATGACAAGGGCATAGATGTATCCATTAATATCATTGGAGACAATAACAAAGAGACTGAAAAGGAAACTAAAAGCAACCAGTTAAATGAATATAGCGAACTCATGAACGAACATCTCAATTTTCACGAACAACCTTACTCTATATTTGACAATATGATATTTGAAGAATCCTACACGAGTTCACAATCAGATTCATTCGAAGAAGAGGAGTTACTTCCGATCCTTTCTAACGTCTCTGTAAGTGATCAAAGTTTAGATAATAATGAAATAATCATATCCGATGACGAAAAGATTTCAAGCGACTTACAATTATCCGAACAAGTTGATACCTGCGATGATAAGATTAAATCATCCAATAAAAATATTTTACCAGGATCACTTGAATGTGAGCAAAAAAAAAGTGATGGTAATGAACAGAACATGAACGAACTATCAATTGGTGAAAAGGTAATAGAAGATTCTGGAAATGATGGTACTTCTAAAGAAAAATCTCACGTGAATGACTCGATAATGGAATCTATTAAGTGTGAAAATGGAACATCTACATCTCCTAAAGAATCAAACAAATTAGCTAAGACATCGTCAGTAATAGTAACTAGAAGTATGATTGCCTCACTCAACTTAAAAGTATGGTTTTTAATTGACCATTAAATATTTATTAAATCAAAATCAACAAATACATTAACAATAACTTTTTATAGGAATCATCTACAAGTTTAATGAGTTTAGAAGAAAAGAAACAGCTGCTTTTGGAAGTACGCAAAAAGAAAATGATGTTACATAATAGTATCCTTCGGAGTGAGCAAGAACAAGTCGTTGGTGAAAAGGATAGGGAGAATGATGCGACATTCAAATCACAAAATTCTCTTCTATCTTCCAAAAAGAAAACAACTAATAAATTAAACACAACACTCAATCGATTAACTAGACAAAATACAGATAGGAATAAAGAATATCGATGTGAATTCAACGTAGTAGTAGTACGAAAGAACGTTCCAAAACCGTTAAGTCCCGCTTCTAAACTTCATGAGAAAATGAAAAATGGAGGAGGGATCATCTCTTCTTTAAGGTCACGTAATAATCATGGAAAGGATAATACGGGCTCACACATTCCCGTTTTGAAATCACGTGGTGGACGACAAAATCAAGACGAATCGTCTTCTAGTAAAGGAGTTCATTGGGATGAAGAAAGATTGACACAAGAATTGTCTCATGTTGTAAGTTCATCTCCCAGAATAGCAAGACAAAAACCAATTCCTAAATCATGCTTAAAATCGACGGTAGGTATAAAGATAAATTTTTATTTGAAAATTGAATATTGAATCTAAATATAATATTGAAGCCGTAAAATTAATTTAACAATAGAATCCACCCATAGATTCGTTGGGGAATGTTATTGATGCAGATAGTAGTCTAACACCCGTGATAAAACGGGGAATCAAAGTTACCGTAAAGCAAATCAAGTATAGAGGTGAATAGTATGGATCTTAATGGTGTGTAAAATATATTGTCAATAGTAAATAGGGAGAAAATCCTTAAAGTAAACTTTCTAATGGATAATAAAACTGTGCTATATTTTTGTTTTAATTTTTTAGCTGAAAATATTTATTACATCTCAATTACTAACATTAGAATACACCTGTTATTATATAGAATTAAATAATACAAAGTAGGAAAACACTAATTAATATTCGCTGGGTGCCTAATAAAAAGAAAATATAATTAACTTAATTTTACAAGAAAAGAATCAAAATAATGAATTAAAACATACTGCTAGACTTTTGTCTTCTGGATTAAGTGGATCGCTTCCTAATTCAACACGTAACCCTTCATAAGGATAAGTCCTCCTCTCCTAATTAACATAATTTAGTATCTAATTTAATGATTTGTTCATATAAGAAAAAATAAAATAAACTAACCGTAGGATTTTCAGGCATAGTTTTTGATATGATGATTCCAAATAAACCAACACTAGTGAAAAAAATACCGAGACTTTTTAAAGCGGTAGAATTTTTATAATTATAAATATCAAGACTCCATACACTTAAAGAATCTTCTTCTTCATGAATCTATTAGAAAAAAAAATTTTAATTTTAAAATTTCATTTACACTTTCATTTTTAGAAAATATAATTGCTTACAGGTTCATCAAGATTTATTCTATTTTGTTGATCATCCCATCCAAGAGCAGGCCTGTTTAAACGTGATTCAAAAGGTAAATTAGGATAATCACCAATTAATGGATCTTGTACACGAATTTTACCAGGTCCTGACTTATAATGAGCTATTTGTTGATTATGATATACTTGAGAAAAGACTGGCAAACAATTTCGCCGAATCAATAATATAGTAGAATGACCATGATGTGGTAATATTAAACGTGGTAGCATTATTTATTGTTGGAGAAAAAAATATATATAAGTGAAAAAATAATGAATCGATCCTTTATAAATAATTTTTTTGATGCACATGTCACATGACTAATTAAATAGAATTTTTTAAACCAATTATAAATCGGATCAAAAATCTATTTAATTTTTTTTGAAATCAATTCTTTTAATCTTCCTCTTCGTTTCAAAAAAAAAATTATTAAGTAGGTGTCAATTATATTATATATCATGTTGTGATAATTTTAAACAGAAATTTTTTACTAAATATAATAATTTATTAGAAAAAAAATGTCGGATGATTTAATTTGGTAAATTTAGTTTAAGAACTGAATCGATTATAAGTAATTAAAGTATTATTTTAATTAATTTATGTATATTTGATATAGGCTTATTGTCAGAAATAAGAGTTCATTTTTAGTAAAACGTAATGGCGCAGAATTTACCTCTGAACCAAACAATTTGACAAATTTGAACTCATTCAAACATTCAGGCCTTGCTAATTCGAAGGTATTTATTCTATTAAATTTAACTTTAATACGAAAGATTTTTAAATTAAACCAATATATATATATACATTATAGGCAATTGGTATAACAGCTGGTCCAGAGAATAGAGGTGTATCTGTCGTTACGAAAAAAACCAAAGCAGCTTCTTTTAGACCGGCAAAAACTATTAATAAAGTTGTACTTACTAAAGGTGTTCGTAGATCAGCAAAAAGTTTTACTAATAACTTTACTAGATCTCATTACCGTCCTGATTTAAGAAAGGTGCGGATTAAGATTTTATTTTATTTTTTTTAATTTTGATGATATATCATATGCAAATTTGCTAGAGCCCACTTTAATTTTATTATTGGTGAAAGAATTGGGTGTAAATTTAATTGCTATAATGAACCCTTTTAAGAATGAAATAATATTTGTCTTTTGAACTTATGGCATATGTTTTTCAAACTTGATACATATCTTTACTAATTCGCTTTTTCTTCTATATATAGATTGCTTTGGCTCGTATCTCTTCCATTTATCAATCTCAAAAATCTGTTAAAGTTCATGCAGGAAAAACTGGTCGCCGTCATAACAAGAAACAAAAGTAATGGTACTATTATATATCCCCTTTTTTAGAACGAGAAGTTTGAAATGGAGATTATAATATAATAAATAATTTTTATCTAAAAGAAAAATGAATTACCAAAAAAAAATGAAGAAATAAAAGTTGCTTAACTTTATTTGTTGTATTCTTAAAGAGAAATATATCACACAATAAATTAAATAGTCTATAAATTTTACAGATTGTTGAAACCTAAATATTAATCGAATAAAAAAATTCTAGATGATATATCATCGACAATCCAATCCATTCCAAGAAGTAAATTTTCTCCCGTTACAGCACTACAAGCTTGAATAGCCCAATGATGTGTTAAGATAGAATCAAGTTCAAGTCCCTAAAAATCAAAAGAATTCATAAGAATCTTTGTTTTATTGTTTTAAGTATCAAAAGTATCAAACAGGTCATGATGATCCCAATATACCTCGCGTATTTGGTCATCGGTTAAAGCTCCTGGGAGATCTTGTTTATTTGCAAAAATCAATAGTGAAGCTCCTGCTAATCGCTATAATTTAAAAAAATATTTAAATAAGTATTAATTATATTTTGACAAAGAGATATGCACGAATCTAAATCAATTTACTTCTTCTTGTAATAAGGCCTTCAATTCATTTTTTGTATCTTCCAATCTCATCCTATCAGCACTATCTACGACCCAAATTACACCATCAGTTTGTTCAAAATAATTCCGCCAATATGATCTAATAGATTTTTGTCCACCAACATCAAATACGTGTAATTTGAATCTAAATCACACAGACATTAATAAATACGCGTATATAAAGGAAAATCGGAAGCTGATGATTTTTACCCTTTGTGTTCTAAAGTCTTAATATCAAAACCTAAAGTAGGCGAAATAGTATCAATTTCTTCACCATTTAATCGCTTTATTATAGTAGTTTTACCAGCGTTGTCTAGACCACTATAAATTAAATAAGATATTTAATTATTGATCCAATAATTAGATCAATTTTGTATTTTACAATTTAATAATAACTCACAAAGTCGTTGTTTTACTCACAGCACCAGTAACCTCATCTCCTTTTCCTTCTGACGAATTTTTCGCAAAATTGATAATAACCCCATTTTTATAACTATTGTAATTAGAGTAATTTATTTTCCCGATAAGTCAAATAAAAATTAAGAAATAGCCTTTGTTACACCGTATACATGAAATTCCAAATCTAGTAAGATTGATCAACAATAATAAATTTTAATATAATTATAGTCTTTACCAAAACTATTGAAACAGTACTACAAGCAAACCTTTTGTCCAGAAATATGTGGCGGTGAATCTTTTACTTTTTGTGAAGCTTTAATCTCCTATAAATTTTTTTTATAATATTTATTAACTTAAGATAGTAAAGGACAATTATTATCACAAAAATTACCAATAACATTTGTTGCATAGCATAGAAGTAATAGTGATTCCATTGTAAAATAAAAAAAATATTTGTGTAAAAAAAAAAAAACTTGTAGGAAAAAAATAATTAAATGATTTTATATATATATAAAAAAAAAAAAATAAACAAAAATCTCATGATATTATTAAATAATAATATGATAATCTACATTTAAATTTAAAAAAAATTACATAATATAACATAATGAAACTAAAATTTTATTTTACAGTATATGCTATGATAATTATGATTTGTCAAATTTTATATTTCTATTACAAAGACCATATATATCAATTAAAAAATATGAATAAAAAGAGAAAAAGTATAAATAATTTATTTATAATATCCGTTTTAATAAAAAATACAAAATTTTTTTTTTAAGTCATGAATATCATCTATACATTTTACAACATTGGAATGTTTTTTTAATGACACTGTAACAAATGCTACTAAACAACATAGAACAGAACTTATAGCAGCTATAAGTTTGTGTCAGAAAGAAGCTGAAAAAATAAAATTAAATAAAATACTTGAAACATTTGAAGATATGAATTTAATAAGTAAAATATATTTATTAATTTTATCTTTATTAAATAAAATGATGTTTTCCAATATTTCAATTTTATAATGATATTATAGGTCTAGATCATTTCTTATATATATGTTTATAATTATTTTAATAGAAATATTATATATATACATGTATATAAGTTGTATCATTAAATATTTGGCTATTTTGCTATTTATAAATACTAGATTTAATATAGACAATGCCTTTGTGTATTTTATAATCATCTGTTAGCATATTAACTCATAATATATTGAATATACTTATAAATATATGAGTTATATCATTGGGTATTTAGTTATTTTGCTATTCATAAATACTAGATTTGATATGGATAATACCTTTATGTATCTCATTATTATCCGTCAGCATATTACACATAAAATACTTTAGTAATTCTGATTTTTTTAAAATAAATTCAAATTTATATTTATTATTATAATATTTAGTAACTTACTTTATTTAGGATCAGCATAAGGCAATTTATCAAAAAGCTTACAATTTTGAAAAAAAATAGGCAAATAATTAAAATATTTTAATAAGATTATATAATTTTTAATTTAATTAATTTTTTTAATTTAGTGTAATTTATTGAAACAAGAAGAAAATGTTAATATTCTTTGATCAAATATAAATAATATAATTAAGAATTATGTGAGAAAAATTATAAATTTTATGTATAATCATTTTTTAAAATACTAATATATTTTATTTTTATTAGAAAAATACAATTAAAGGTTGTTCTAAAGAAGCAATAGAGATATTAAATGAAATTATATCATTTATATCTCAGCTTGATCTTGCTAAAATTAAATATAATACTCTAATAGCATATGGAATTCTAGATGTTTGTCAAGAAGTAGATTTTAATTTTGAAAAGTTTTCTGAAAAGACATTACAAGATCTATGAAAAGTTGATTTTGAAACACTAAACTTTTCAAATGAAGCAAATGATATGATAAATAAATTTATTCTTATGTATCATTCATTAAATGTTCATTACAATTTAAGATTAGTTTGACTGATTTCATTTCCTGAAGTTGAATTAGAAAATGAAAATTTTGATTACTTAATTAATTACTATATATGATTTATTAGAAGGATTGTAAAATTTTATAAAATTATATTATTTTAATTATAAATATTAATTTATTTAAATTTATTTAAATTTATAGAAGAAAATGTTAGAGTTGATAGCCATTATTAGATAAAACTGATTATAGTGAAAGTGGTTACGTAACTCACACAGTTTTTAGATTTCTAGATCTAATATTTACATATAATGATTGGACCTTTAAACTTAATTGGTATATTATATTAAAATATTTAATTT